TTTTAAATCAAAAAACAAAACCATATATATATATACGAAGATATTAAACCATATGTTACTATAAACATTCTACATAATTACTTTGAAATTTATAGTCATGTGACGTTATCTGTTAATACTTTTAAATGTTTCACTAAATATCTTAATATGAAACTTATGTAATAGTAAATATTATAATAGAATCAAACAATTGATATAAATAAAAATTATATTAAATAATAACTGCCATGAAATACTGGATACTATTATGTAGCATATTATGTAGTATTGTTTATAGATCCTACGCTATAAACAATACGCTTTATATATATCTATTATATTTCCCAAATAAACACTATGAATAATGACAGTGGTAGACAACGATCCTACTTTGATGACAAAAAATGTTAAAAATTGATATATGTATGTATTGAATAAATTCTAATGTCTTTTGTCATTACAGAATTGCAATAAATGAAAACACTCCTTCATTTTTCATAAAGAATTTATTAGAAATGTTTTAGGTCAACATATGGTTCACATTCACGTCAAAATTATGCATGCCATCTAATTGAAATTGTGAGTGCTCAACATAACTCGTTCTACAAAAGTATCTATAAAGCGTATAATAAAGTGTAAAGTTTAATAATTCTTAAAAAATAAAACTAAATTTTTAAAAATCCGGCAGATTTTAAATTTTTTATGTGATAAGTCTTATATGCGTAGGTTCTGTATTGATTGATATAAAGTTTAGTTCTGGCATACCTTATAATAAAGATATGTATAGGATAAGCTAGGGAATTTCTCCAAAATTTGTTTGGTTAATGATCTTAATGGAGTTCAGAAAATCAGTAGTATCAATGATATGGAAGAAACCAACACAAATGCATTACAGTCGTTTCTGGGTATAGTGAATACCCAATATGGTGAATACCTCGATATAATGATCAACTACAGGTTTACAGGAGGTACTATAAATAGTTTAAAAAAGCTATTGGAGCTATTGAAGTTTACATAAAACTATTGCATGGGCTAAATATTACTGATTATACTGAAATACTAGCACTGTGAAGTCTACACTACGCAAACCAAAAATCAATTTATGCATCCAGAAAACAAGAATCTATTATCGAACTCCTTCAATAGACATACATATGTCCATTTTTATTTTTCTATAAATTTAACATATTATATTTTATTGTTTTAATCACCAAAAGTTTTATTAATAATTGTATTTTTGAAACGGTTTAATTAGTCAATTGTTCAAATCATAAACTTTTTAAACTCAGTTTTTAAAAGTATTTTTTTCTTACACCAATATAGAACCAATGTTCTATAATTATCTTTGGGGTACTTATATATTGTAATGACTTCTTGCATTTATATACATTTATATACACTTATGATTCTGTTAAGAAAATAAAATGAGTTTTTGAATAAAAATGGCAACCTTGATATATTGATAACTGATATTGATAACTGGATAACTGAAGAGACTTTGTAATAATTAGTTTACAATTAGATACGAATGCATGTCGTGTAAAGGAGTTCAGTATGGTTATGTTTATAAAACTTATATGGTTCCTCATTGAAATCAAATGATTAACTAGAATTTGTTTAGTAGGAAAGGCTAACTTTGAAACGGTATCATAACAGACTCCTATATTTTGTGAGTAACTAAGACTTTTTTATTAGCAATTGATACATTGATAATAATAGGTGTAGTAAAAATAAATCCATTATTTTTGCATGAAATTAAAGACTTCTGTGGAAAAAAAAATTAGTTTCTTTTTACTTCACCTAATAATAATAACATTGCATCTTATGTTATAAGAGTGATGTTAAAATATAATATTTTTTAGACTCCGTATAGTTTATCATATAGTATGTATAGGTATCAATAATTTTTTAAAGCATGAGGGCGTCAATATATATGTGTGTTCTACCACAATGACTGTCGAGCAATAATCTTGTTCGATCTTTTGAGAGTGCTCTAGATCCAGTCCCTTTTAAGTTTTGTTTTATTTGTAGTTGGACTAATTCAAACTTATAGTTCGATGTTGGATATTCTCTAATTAAAATTTTATTTTACAAATTCTTTAAGATTTTAAGAAAGTTTGCTATGAAACCCTTATATCAAATAATTCCTTCACGCAGAAATTAAAATTTCTACATCATTGAATATATGAAACACATGAAATGCTAATAGCATTTTTGTACAATACAGACTACAAATTTTAATTTCCATATATGCAAATTTATTCCTCTATAAACATTAGTGGTAATCGTATACAATTTGGAAACTCATGACTAATTGACAATTAATTTGGCATTTTACAATACAAAAAAAAATTTTTTTTAATGATTTTTGTTACTATTGGTGTGTAAATTCGTTTCTATGCTTGTGTAAAGCGTCGACGCCTACAAATAAACTCACTAAATTGTTCATTGGGGTCAATGAATCTCTTTTTATATACGATATGGAATACAGGCTTGGAATGATTAATTTGATTTTTTTTTCTCGACGGTAAATATAGTTTAAAATTTGATCAACAGAGTAATCAACGAACTAAATGTGACCTAAATTAGTTAATAATAATGATCTTTAAAGACTGCTTGACTGCTTAATATTCAAAAGTGGATGAAGTCTACATAAAAAAATTTTTTTAAAATATTTATGCTTTTGTTGTAAATATAATTAAAGTAATTACCTATCTCATCACCCACTTAATTTTATAATAATTTTTAAAACAATTACGTCACGTGACTGAGTCACTGATGCATTCAAGCAATCAAATTAGTGCCAACGATCGTTTATGCTTCTCCGACAAGTAATGACAAAATAAAAGTTGCATGATCGTTTGTGGTTCTCGGTTAATGTCAGTCATTTTTATTTAAAAGCACAAAAAATTAATGCTGCACATGACTTAATAAACATAATAGATGCAATAATGTATCTTACGGATTTATCACCTTGATTTTTAATTTAAAAATTTATACAGTATTGAATTGCTGTTTTTATGATCGTTGATATAACCTATAGAATCTTTATAATGTTTTAATAAAAAATTAATACCATTGATTTTATTAATATTTATTGTTATTTATTCTAACATTGTATAATATAATCACAATAAAAATTTTAGCTTATATGTTTGAGTATAAAAAAAACATAAATGTAATAAAATATATATAAAATTTGAGAAAAATAAATAAATTTTATTCAATAAATAACTAAATTAATTTTATAAAGAGGTTTTTTTCGAAAAGTAGTCATATACAACAACAAAAATTCATTTTATATTATTTTAATTAATTGAATTTTTGTTTGACTATACAGCTGCTTCGAGTATTACCAAATACCCATCATCAGTGGTTTTGGAAATAATTCTTGTGTTTAATTATTCGTAAATAATTATTTTTGAGACTGCAAGTACCAGGAATCGAACTTGTGCCCTGCCAAATTTGAAGCTCAGAGTCAGCGCTCCTTAACTAACTGACCCAAAGCCGTACTTGTCTTTTGTGTTTTATTAACAAATTCATTTGCTGTGTTTATATTCGAACAAAATTATAAACCAGCTGTAGAATAAGTGAATTAATTAATTATATTTTTATTATTTTTTTAATTGTTAAATTTCAATACTATTCTGTTTGTAGAGACATTATTTGTTCCATGAGTTATATATTCTTTTTTATGTGTAGAACTTAATCTAGGAACGTAGTACTGAGAAATTTCATAAAAATAAATAAATTAATTTTATTAAAAACAACAACTAAATAAATGTTATTAAATTCAGTTATAATGATTTTTTTATTTCATTTTAAATTGTAATTGTTGTTATTACTTGTTTTGTTATTATTAATCAATTAGTTATAGTTTTATTAATAATACATTTTGCAACAATTGTATCTCTAATATGCGTGTTAGAGCTTAGAGAATACTTTTATAGGTAAAGTGTTGCGTGTTAATTAATTTTTCTCTGATATATTAATTTGATCTATAATATTGTGGTTTAATTTTTAATTAGTATATTTATTGAATTGTTCAAATACAGAAATAAGATGCGTCTAGACAAAAATTTATGATAAAATTATATCTTTTAAAACCAATTTAATATTTTTATATATATAATATATACAATATGTACAAATTTATTAACAAAAAATAATCTTTTTGTTTTAGGTAAGTCTTTCGGATTGGTTTTATTTATTATACATATATAATTCGATAATGGTATGTTGAACTTGTAAAAAATTAATATATCTGTTGTTTGAGATTTTAATATTATATATATTTTATTTTATTTGTAATCTCTTATTTGATCATTTAAAATTTAATTCGTCTTCGACCATAAATTATAAATGACGAACATCCTATATAACTGAGCTCTGAATTTATGAATTGTGAGCATAGAAAGAAAAGGACGAGTATGTTAAATAAGATAATACTTGAGACCCAATTAGATTTCTAAAGACTTAGTAAGGTAACATATTGTATGTTTAATAAAATTTACTCTCCTCTTAACCCAGCTAAAAGAAACAAAGTTAAGATTTATAGTGCGGTAAACAAACTAAGTTCGTGAACCATTCTGTTTACGGGATTTTTACTGGATCAGGGATTTTTTAAATACAAAATTAGTATCCTGCATAATAACTCTTTAGATTTTTTATAAATTTTTATTTTATTTCTATCCATAAACACCTAAGTGAATATATGCTTCACTTAGAAACGGGCTAACCAACGCAGTTTGTAAACACAGTGCAAACATATTTCGTCTATGTAAGAAAAACTCTTAGTTCCTCCTTCACAAGGTTTCCTCGAAT